ACCAGAGGCGAGCAACACCTCGAAATGACCATAAATGTCAGAAGATGAGCAGCGCGAAACTCCGACCAGAGCTCCACTTCCTCCTCGTCCGGCACCAGAACAGTTCCGTCGACGAACTTTTTCAATCCAGCGATCTCCAGCTGGGGTTCAATGAATTCAATCCACGTGATCAAGTCGTGGCGACCCTCCAGCAACTTCGGCACAACGATCTATTCGTACGCCGGCGCGATGCCTCCCTCTCGACCAGCCGACGCATGAGTCGTCGAAGTCCGCCCGACTCCACTCCGCAGAGGAGATGGGCGTCGACCACCGATGTTGCCGTTCGAGCTGCCTCCAGTCGCAGACGATCGCAGCACTTGCGCCTGCACTCCGCCAACGCCGACGTCGGCGGGCCAAATCACTTCGCGAACCCTCGTGCTTCCACCGCCGACAACATTTCCGCCATCGCCTTCGTTGTGCACGGGTCGGGGAGAGGCGGACGCGCCGTCCGCTTCTGCACGGGGAGGGGGATGCTCACGCGCCCACTGCGCACGAGTTCCAAGGAGCATAATCTCCAAGTCCGCCTCGCCGTACCCGCCAGCCTCGTGGCGTGCCCGAACACCAGCCTCTCTCGCCTGCAGTTCTACACCTGCTTCGACCACGGGGTCGACCATAGCGACTAAGACGGCTGCCGGCCTAACAACAACTTAGGTAATGGACGCAGAAGTCAGCTATCTGAAGGTTCTAACGCGGGGCCGTCCACGCTCACCGCACCATGCGGAGAGTCACTACACAACGGGAGTGGACTACGGTGGAGGGCACGGAGTTGTGCGGGTGATCGTAGCGTTGTTCTAACGTTCTTACTGCTTGCTGTGTTCACACAGAAGTTTGGCAAGAATTCCACTAAGGAATTGAAAAGAACAACTTGCAATGAAAAGTTGGAAGTACAAAATGAGGCATGCAGAACAAAAGGACTAGAAGGGCATTCAACTCCTAGCAAGGGCGAATTCTGCCAGCGCAACAAAAGAGCGGCTTGCCAACGTTACAGCAGAGTGATCTGCCAACATTGCACTGCGCGCGGTCTGCCAGCACTGCAGTCGCAGGTGACTATCTGCAGTCGCAGGTAACTTTCTGCGGTCGCAGGTTGTCTATCTGCGCAGATGTGCGCACCTACCAAGTAGGTGCAGATTGGCGGTTCCACCGTCAGGCACATTGCGCAGGTGCCAGGTAGAAAACGTGTCGTCGGTTTCTTCAGGTGCGCACCGTCGAGCACGTTCTGCCGTTCCGCGGGTAGAACTTCGCCAAAATCTCCTGGGCGAAAGTTCGCACGCCTCCGCAGAGTTTCGCAGAACTCTGCAACTTCGGTCGAAGGACTTGCCATCGCTTGGTCGAACAGAGTTCGCCGAGCAGAGCTCCTCGACCAGAACTCTTCGGCCAGAGTTCCTCGACCCGAACTCTTCGACAAGAGTTCCTCGACTCGAACTCCTCGACCAGAGTTCCTCGACGGAAGTTCGTCGCGCAGAGATCGTCGACCAGAGCTCGTCGCGCAGAGCTCGTCGACCAGATTCCGTCGAGCAGAACCTGCTCGACTGCAACTTCCGTCAAACTGCAGAAGACCACTTCTTCTACCCATCCGTCGAGAACTTCCCGTCGACGGCGAGATCGGCTGCGCCCAAGCGAGGGCGGGGCCTTTCTCTTCGACAGTCTCAACGTAGGAGAAAGGTTGTGCGGGGCTGGAGGGAGGAGAGGAAATGATGCTGTGGAAATGGTGGTTGCGAGGATGAGACGGGGTGTAGATATGAAAGCGGAGGTGTACCCACAGTTGTTGTAGCTTGATTCATGATATTGAGTGGGGCTATGTTGCCTCTATGGCTCTCTATTATGAAATGCGATTATGAGCAGCGCGCAGCATGTATGTTTTGTTTGCGTATCTTGTAGGATAGGTCTTATTTCAATATAGATGGCATGGGATGTTATATTTACCCCCTTGCATGCTCTCATGAGTCCATTCATTATTTATATTTTTTACTGCTCTCACTCGTCTTGCAACCAGAACCTTCCCCATAAAATCTCCGCGCCTCACTTTATACAACCCGAAACAATTCCTTCCCTCCATTCATTAATTCCATCCGAATTCCCCTCTTGTTGCTTGTAACCTCCAGCCCCCCTCCCCCCACGCCCCCCTAAACAAAGAGGACGGAAGACATAAAGAAGCTAGTAGTAGGTATAAAGGCCCTGTTCTGTTGCCCACCGGCAAATGGTGGGCGGATTGTTAACGGGAATGGAGTGTTGGCCCCGCCCTCGCTTGGGCAACGCCGACGGCTTGGTCGGATGTACGGCAGTAGCAGTCGACCGTTCACAGTGGGAGAGCTGCTCGACGGGCTTCGTTGAGCTGCAGGGGGGCACTGTGGTGTTGATGTCGACCAGGGAGCTCGACAACTGCAACCGACAGGTCTAGGCGACTGGTGGGCCGTCGACCAGGAGGGACAGTTTGACCGGGAGGTCGACGGAGCAGTCCGTTGACCTGACAAGTGAGCAGTGGTCGACGAGGGAAGCTCGGCGACAACCGCTGACGGTTTTGGTCGACGGGAGGGGTCCGTCGACCAGGGGGTAGCTCGACAGGAGCTGTGGTCGACCAGTGGTGGTCGGCCAGAGGAACCTGGTGGTCGACCAGAGGTAGTGGTGGTCGACCGGAAGCACCTGGTGGTTGACCTGGTCGACCGGGTAACCTGCTCGGCGAGTTCTGTGGTGGCACGCGAACGTCGTCGAGGTCGCGATGGCGAGGGCGACTGCGGGCTGGTATCCCGAAGTCGATGTGGCTCGTCAGGCGCAGACAACAGCCGACGGATGCCCAACGAGGCAAGTCGGGCCAATCGTCTGCGCGCACCTGCGAGCGTGCGCACTGCTGTGTTCTACGGGGCAACGTTGGACAACCTCTCTACTGCAGCGTTGGCACGTCGTCGACCTGCTCTGTTGGCAGGTCGCCTTTCCGCAGTGCTGGCGCGGCTCCTCTACGCAACGCTGTCAGGCGGTCGACCAAGCTGTGCTGGCGGTCGACCAGGCTAGCTGCAGAGTTGCTAGGTGCCTGACGTAGTCATTCTGTCATTGCTTGTTCAATCAATTCTGTAATTTCGACTTTGCCTAGTGAAAACTCTTGCCGATTTCCCCCGTGAATGCGCAAGCACTAAGGAACTAAGCAAAGCTACGATCACCTCTAGTAGTTCGTGCCAACCCCGTAGTCTATCTCACTACCGTTGTAGAGTGACTCTCCGCACGGACAGCACCGCACAGCACTACTTGTGCGTCGGGAGGCTCGGCATGCGCAACAGGTTCGAAGGAACGTGCCATATAACTGCCACCTTTTTCGCAACTATTTAAACTTTCGTCAACCAATCCCTGCCCGGGACTATTTGTGCTGTCCCTGGGTCCGCGCTCCGAGCGGGAACCAGTCGGGAACCAGTCTCGCACCCAGTTTGCCTGGGAGGAGGGGACAGCACAGCACTACTAGTTCAGCGTTCTTTTGCGCTAGGTGGGCCGCACAGCAAAGCACAGCACTGGCCAGGTTCGGGATAGAGTTCAAGGTCCCGAGCCTGTTTCAAGGAATACACCTTCAACAAAAAATCTTCAAGGACCAGTGGTAGAGGCCCTCACGAAGCATCATCTGGTGTTGTGCGGAGGGGTCCGCACCAGCAGTGCGGCAACAGAACTGGGCCCAAGATGCATAAGGACGCGGTGAAAGTGCGAATATCGCAGGATCGTCTGTACATATCGATCCCCGCAATCGATTGAGCAGATCTGTGGCGATCGCGACGTTGCAACGATCGCTACTGAGATTTGACAGATCTCCCGCGATCAGTGATCAGTCGCATTCACACACAGTAGAAAAAAATGGCCAAAAAGCGCATTGCAGCATGGTTACAGCTTAGTAAATTGGGTAACCAATCCGCACATCGATCGCGACTGAAGATCGATCGTCTACTTTTACCACGTCCTAAGCAACAAGACGATCATATTCTCGTTGTTGCATATTCATGACTCGCTAAGGCGCCTTATGCTTGCAGGTTTACAGCTCAGCTCGCTAAGGTGAATGGCGAGACGGTGAGCGCCCAACGATTGGTCTGGCCCATTTGGCGACCAAGCCCTTTCGCGCTGACGTCACTCACGCTTCCATCGCTGAAATTGTTGGGGAGGGCAATTTCCCGCATCGCTAATCAAGCTTCTCCCGCCAAGCCTATGAACGGTCCGCAAATAGCGCCCTGACGGTCACCCCGAACCCGGGGCTAGAGTTCGGTATCGTCATCCAACATTATATGCGAACAGTAGTTTTGTTTCACCCCAAAAACAAATGAAGACACCATGGTGATCTTATTTTTCATCCACAGGAGCACAAAAACAACCTCGCTGGGAGAGTATTACATCCACAGGAGCACAAAAACAACTTCGCTGGGTGGGTAGCTGTTCCATTCAAGTTGTATGGTCTATACTAGGTAGGGAAACCAGGCAGAAGATATACGAATCGCACAGAATTGCATCAGCAAATATTCGACCGCACCTCGCGGAAGCCACAGCGCCCTCCCTCCTTGAGCCTAGTTTCCGGCGCCTCACGTCACATCACCGTCAACAGTCCATCCAACCATCTCTCTCTCCTTTCCCTTCCCCTTCCTCGCTCACTCCAACCATCTCACGCCAGAAATTTCCTTGACTCAAGCTCAGTTTGATTGCGCAGTTCCGACATTCGAGCTGTCCCAAAACCCGATACTTCCAATTTACGGCGCTTCTGGCACGTCATTTACAACGCGTGACCAACAGTCCCATCGCATGCAAAAATCGTGCTCGCTGTTCCATTCTGATCACCGTAGCGGCAACGCTGCTACCTTTATGCAATCTACATCCACTCATTGACAACAGTCATAAAACTTCCACTTCTAGCGCTTAATTCCACTAATCGACTATTCGTAGTGGTGCTGCACACGTATTCACTTCCGTCTTCAGACCAGAACATCGTAAAACAACCGAGCTCAATGGAAGCAGGCGGAGTGGCGGTGCGGGAGAACCGTATGGCGGCCTTCGCGGGGAAGTGGGAGGCGTTCGGGCGGACCAAGGTGGCGGCGCTGAAGGCGGCTGTGGCGCAGGGTGTGGCGCAGAGCCAGCAGATGTTCGAGAAGGAGAAGCCTGCTCAGCTCACGCCCGTCGAGCAAGATGACAAGGTGATGAGAAACAGGGGTCGTTATAAATCGGAAGGTGAGAAGAGGACTCGTTGTAAGCACGAACTCAATGCAGCTGATGCGTCTAGCACAGGAGAGGTCAGTTCCGCTCACGACGGACGAGCGCATGTTGACCAGGAAGCCTATGTAATCGCGTAGAGCGCCACCGCCCATGCCTCCATGGAGTGCTCTCTACTATAGGCAGTCCGCGTTATTAGTTTACATCTAGCGGTTTCCATCAAGCAGTATTTCTCACCGCAGAATGCGGCGTCGGGTCGCATCGCGGAAATGAGAGGACGAAATTATAGGAGCAGGGGCATGAGAGGAGGAATGTAGAGTGATGCGCTAGACAGTATATAGATGCCTGTGTCCAGCTGACACGATCGTCTCCATGGCTTAGAGACTCCACATGAGAATGCACGAGAAGCCGCGTGTAGGTCCGTGCAGCACGGATGCCTGTGAGTTTCCGCTAGCGTTTCCGCGCTATCGCTCTCCTTGTGAGTTTCTGCGCTCTCTTTCTCCCTCTCTCACTCTCTCGCTCTCTCTCTCTGCGCGTTTCCCCATGCAGGTGAAGGAGCTGCGCGCATCCCTCGGCCCCCTCCCCAAGCGCGCGCAGATATTCTGCTCCGACGCGTGTCTGCGCCGATACCTGCGCGCGCGCAACTGGCACGTGCAGCGCGCCGAGCGCATGCTGCGAGACACGCTCAAATGGCGCGACCAGTGCCGCCCGGAAGAGATTCGATGGGTACGTATGCATACTTAAAAGCCACTTATTATTCGTACGAGGTAGTTTACCCTTATTCGCAGCTCTTTCAAGGCAGCCATGAGCAATTAGGCCGAGCCTACGTTTGAATGTAAGCAGGTCCGCACAATCGTGAGCACGTACGTACACTCGTACGCGCGTACGTACACTCGTGCGCGCGTACGTACACTCGTGCGCGCGCACGTACACCTTCTAAGCATCTAAGCACGTACGCGCATTCGTAATCACGTACGCACGTGCGTACGACAGCGGCAGACGGATGAAATTGCGTGCGTCAGTGCACATGCAGCATAAACTACGGTAGAGATTGTTCCCTCCATCCGCAGGCAGACTCGCACTGTGCAGGCCAGACTCGCACTGTGCAGGCCAGACTCGCACTGTGCACACTCGTCTCCCAAATGTCCAGATCTAACCCATACCAACCTTCCCAGCGGTGCTGGTGCTGGAACCTCCATCTTAAGGCTCTTCATCTCCTTCCCTTCCCCCTTCTTTTCGCACTATTTCCAACTGGTACACGCAATTGTGTTTTATGGTTCGTGTGCTGCACACACGCGTTTACTTCGCTACGTGTTGACAGCATTTGTGATTCATGGGCGGTGCGGTGGTGCGATTGCAGGCGGACGTGGCGGAGGAGGGCGCGACGGGCAAGGTGTACCGAACGGCGTTCCAGGACAAACATGGCCGCCCGGTCGTGGTGCTCTCTGCCGGCCAGCAGGTGAGTGAGATGCTTGCAAAGTGAGTCGAGCAGGTGAAGTGCCTGCGAGTTGAGGCGTTTGGGTAAGAGATACGGATGTGACCCGAGAGAGGGATTGAGTCTGTCTCAGCCACTGAATACGCCTCACCTGCCACTGCGTACCATAGCTAAGTGCATTGCCCTCGATAACCGCCCACCGCCCCCTTGCATGTACCGACGCTCATTCCCCTCCTCTCTCATGCATTCCCCTTGCTTGCAGAACACCAGCAACCACGCGGGGCAGGTGCGGCACCTCGTGCACTGTCTAGAGAACGCCGTCATGAACCTGCCGGCCACTGCCCGCGAACAGCACAAAGAGAAGAATAACCGGCAGGCGGAGCAACAGGAAGAGCAGGGGGAGCAGGAGCAGATGGTGTGGCTGATTGACTTCCGCCGCTCAAGACGTCTCGCGAGGTGCTGAGCATTCTGCAGAGCCACTACCCGGAGAGGCTCGGCGCTGCTGTCATCTACAACCCGCCTGCCGTCTTTGAGGCCTTCTGGAAGGTGCGTTGGTGCTTGGGTACATGCCATGAGAACCAAGGGGGAAAACGAAGGGTCCCTGCGGATGGTGGGATGGTGGTGCTCCATGGGAATGGTGAGATGGAGATACAAGGGATTCACACCTTATTTTTTCTTGTCCTCCTTTCTTGTTGCACTTGCTGCCTGAGTGGTAGGGATCCATTCTGCGAGTGGTTGCGAGGGATTCACGTCTTACTTTTTCTTGTCTTTTCTTGTTTAATATGTCGCGCTCATCATTGACCGCTCTACTCTCGATCCGTTTTGCTTGACCAGGCGATCCGCCCCTTCATAGACCCGGTGACTTTCAACAAGATTCTCTTTGTCAACCCATCCAAGCCAGTCACACTGAACGTGCAAGCATCTATGCCTGAACTGCCCTTCTCCTCTCGTTTGACCCGTGCTGCCCCAACAGGTGATCCGCCCCTTCATAGACCCGGTGACATTCAGCAAGATCCTCTTTGTCAACCCATCCAAGCCCGACACGGTGAACTCTATAACCGCCTAATCCACCGTTCTCTTCTCATTTTACCCGTGCTGCCCCAACAGGTGATCCGCCCCTTCATAGACCCAGTCACATTCAACAAGATCCTCTTTGTCAACCCATCCAAGCCCGACACGGTGAAAAGGCTCGAGGGGATCTTCGACCTGGACCGCCTTGAAGAGGCGTTTGGGGGGCGGTCCAAGTGGACCTATGACCATGCGACATATGGCGAGATGATGGCACGGGATGACGAGAAGACGGCAGAGTACTGGGGGATAGTTGAGGGGGAGCGGTTGGGACAGCAGCAGGCGTTTGTGGGGGATGAGAGCGGGGACGGTGTTGACAGCACTCAGGGCAGTGAGGAAAGTTCCCTCAGCAGCAGCAGTAGTTCCAGCAGCCTCAGCAGCACCAGCAGCAATGGCGATGGTGATGGCAGTGCTAACGTTTGGTTACCCATTGAAGTGCTCACTCCCACTGATCCAAACACACCTCTTCCGATCCAGGCACCTGCACAAACAAATGGAGTGTTCTCGGCTCTCCAGAAGATGAACCTGAACAAGTTCGTCAAGCGACCAACGTGGCCCCAATAACACTGGCCGAGTGGCTGGTGAGGTGTAGCTTTTGGCTTTCTACATTTTATGCAAGTGGTAGCGTAGTTCGAGCAACATTTTAGATAACGGTAGCACTAGTTCTGAGCGCATCTGTCTCCAATCAGCCTCCACAATGATGCCGAGTCATTTGTAATGTGATGAATGAGATGCAATAGCAGTGGATGGCTGGGTTTGAAGGACACTGTGAACTTAGACCATTATGCTGAATGCACTAAATTGACCATCAAATGTACTGAGACACGTAAGGCAATCCTGTCATATACAGTAATATCACGAAACCTGCCAGTAGTCATCTACATTTGTCAAGCCACAACCATCTACAATTCTCATGCCAGAATCCAGAGACCAGCACCGTGTCCATGGTACCAAATTTCAGCACGTTTAAACAATCCAGAGCTTGCACAATCCCCTTCCTCCACTCACTTCTTCCCCCCGAATGCTCCATTTCCCAGGATTCTGCCGTCAACACATCCACTGTCCAGATTTGGAATCTTGAGGATTGTCTCATCTTCCTCATCCCCTAAGTTCGGGCATGCAGTGATCACGAGAGTCCTGAGGCTGGTGAGACTGCTCAAGGACTGCGGCACACACATCAGGTTAAGGCACGAACTTAAGGTCAGCCACTGCAGCTGTGAAAGATTTGCCATCTCCTGTGGAAGCCAATACAGATCGGGAAAGCCGAACAGGAAGAGTGTTTTCAGATTCGAAAGCTGGCAAATGGATGACATGAAGGCTTTTTGGTCGTTGCCGCAAACCATGCAGTTGGCTGGCCAACCAAACTCAAGAGACGTGAGGCTGCTCCAATGCCGAGTCAGGGATGGAGACACTGATCTGACGTTGTCACAGTAGTTGAAGGTGAAAGTGCGGAGATTGGAGAGCTTGGAGATGGTATTAGGAAGGTTCATAAGGCTTCTGAGTTGGCTCAACTCTAGATGCTCCAGAGATGACAGGTGATCCATGCTCTCTGGAAGGTCCATGAGCACTGAACAATCCTTGAGGACCAACACGCGGAGGTTAGAAAGATCGCAGAGAGAGTCAGGGAGCGAAACAAAGTCTCGACAATCTCTGATGGTTAGCGTCTTGAGAGATCCGAAGCCAGACACAGCGTTTGGAAGGGAATCAAAACCTTTACAATACACGAGCTCAAGAACTTGCAGAGAAGCAAGCTGGAAAAAAGAACTCGGGAGTTCGGAGAGGGGATTGCCATTAAGGAAAACCTCTTGAAGGTTCCGAAGCTGGCCGATGGTGTCAGGAAGAGGTATTAAGCTGCCCACATCACGAATGCTAAGCTTGACCAGTGACTTCAGCCCACCAAACGAGGCAGGTAGACGGTCGAACGTATCAGAAATGCTTACTAGCTGCAGATCGGTCAATCCGGTGAGCTGAGCAAATGATTCCGGAAGGTGGTCAATGCACACAATGGCGAGTGTCAGCTTAGTCAGGGATCTTAGCTTGTCGAATTTATCAGGCAGACAGCTGAATTCAACATTAAGATTGACCTCCGTCAGGGATGAAAGGCCGAAGAAGGATGGTGGCAAATCACAACCGTATTCGTAGACTGTACTCATGGTAAGCGAGAGGTACTGCAACGCAGTGCAGCCTGTGAAAATGGCGTCTAAACCTTCATACGTCGCCCCTGAATAATCTCCATTGTTCAGGTCAAGATAGATCAACCTTGGACAGACAGATCCTAGGCCACGGAGGAAGTCGTCATTGTTCCTATCAAGAACGCACTTGTTGATCGTGAGAGAAGTCAAATGTCTGAACTGAGAAAGAGATTCCAGAAGAGCAGCATCTGCTGTAACTCTGGGCGGACTGTTTGAGATGGACGTCTGTGCAAGGTAAGCTAGGCGATTCCAGCGTTTACAGACGAGAGCATGATTAAAGTAGCTGGGTGAATGCTTGTTTAGACAACGGAAGATGAGGCAGATGAGGTCGCGCGGTAACCGATTCAAGGACACTTTCGACACACGTTTACGGCGATGCGGGACTGGGGCTAGGGAAAGTAAATCACCTTCAGCACCGGACATTGTTAGCACGTTGCTGGCGAACTTAGGCCAATCAAGCGAGGCAAGATCTAGATCCTCTGGTAAACTTGGGAGAATTGGAATATGGAACTAGGTACAGTAGGAAGAGCAGTGTATCTGAAAAGTAGCTTGCCTTGAGTTGCAGTTGCTCCGCTTCGCAAACCCGAGCTCGGGGCACACGCTGGGGTTGTGCTGGATCTGTCTGCCTTGACTTCGCTGCGTTCACTTTCGACTTGTGTTACCGTTTCGCTCGGCGCGTCGCGAGTAAAAATGTCGGGAGACGAAGTCCAAATCCTTTCGCCAAAGAAACGGTACGAAATAATTGGAATCCAGAACTGAACACAGTAACCCAGTGGACGGAACCACCTATACTTCCGAGTTTCGCTCCTCGCCGAATCGTAAGTCTGTTTCATCACCTTCAGCTGTGACCGCCAAGCTCGCATTCTGGGTACCTCAAGGCGCGAAAAACGCCTACTCTGTTTGTTGTTTCTATAAACGCGTCCGAAGGCATAGGTGGCTCAGACCCAGAGTCGTGAATCGTGATTACCCCGCAGATGTGGTTACCGCCAGTGATGTGTACAGCAGGCCTCTTTCGCTTCCACTTCATCTCGTTGCTACCGTAGTGTACACTCCTAAGAGAGAATGGTAGAAGTCACGGTCTTCTTCGTGCACCCTAACGGTGGATTTCGAGCCAGCTAAAGATTTATGGCGGCGAAGAAGACGAACCTTCATTCCTCTGCATCGTCTCGGAAGTCGCGGATCTCTTCTTTTTTTTGATAATTGATAGTGTATACACGCGGATCTCTTCTCCTTGCCTTGTCCTGAAGGCCAAATCTGCGACCGCAGAAGGCTGTGGTCTCAGCAAGTCATCGAGGGATTCGCACATCTCCGTTTTCGTTTTTCCGCTCTCACTCTCTCTGTTCGTTTCTCCGCTCTCACCCGACATGCTTTTGCGCTCTCACTCTCCCTTTCGTTCTGCGCTTTTGCCAATGCAGTTGGAGGAGCTGCGCGCATCCCTCGGTTCCCTTTTTGAAAATTTTCAAATACTGACGTGGCGGAGGAGGGCGCGACGGGCAAGGTGTACCGATCTGCATTCCAGGACAAACACGACCGCCCGGTCGTGGTGCTCTCTGCCGGCCAGCAGGTGAGGTGCTTGGGTAGATATGGGGGGCTGTGATGTGACCTGAGGGAAGGGGCCAAGGTGTGCAGGATGGCGCTCCCTGCCAGCCACAGTGTGAGCTGAATAGGTTTCAAGTTGATTGATTCAGTCTCTCGCCCACTGCATACACCTCGCCTGTGTACTTACGCAGTCTCTGCATACTCCTCGCCAGCGTACCACTGCGTATTCCTCGCCTGCATACACCCCGCCTGTGTTCCGGTGCTCATCAATCTCTGAACCAGTGATAGGGTGCTTACGTAGTCGTACAGTGCAACCCTCATCGTGCATTCCCCTTGTTGCAGAACGCTAGCAAACAACCATGCAGGGCAGTCTTCACACACCCCACCACCCTCTCTCGTACACTCCCCTTGTCGCAGAACACCAACAACACGCGGGCAGGTGCGGCACCTGGTGCACTGCCTTGTTTAATCAATGTCATCATGCCTTCATGAAACTGCCCGCCACTGCCCGCCACCACTCTCAAAGCGCCCCTCCTCTTACGCTCATTCCCATTGCTCGCAGAACACCAACAACACGCGGGGCAGGTGCGCCACCTCGTGCACTGCCTCGAGAACGCCGTCATGAACCTCCCGGCCACAGCCTGCAAACAGCAGCAGCCGCAGCCGCGTGAGAATGGCAGGCAGGGAGAGTAGCAGGACGAGCAACAGGAGGAGCAGGGGGAGCAGCAGGGAGAGGAGCAGGTGCCATCTACAACCCGCCTGCTGTCTTTGAGGTCTTCTGGAAGGTGGGTGCATCTTCCTGAGGAAGGTGAGTGCAGCTTCCTGGGGAAGATGAGGTGGTGTGAGAGGGTGGGATGGTGCTTGGGCTCCCTTGGAATGACTTTTAAATGGACTCCAAGACTGGCTTGGTGCTGCTTTCTTGTGCAACCCGCCTTTTTTCTTTGAAACCTTTTGGAAGGTGAGGTGGTGCGTGCGGCTCCATGGGAATGGTGAGATTAACATACCAAGTCTTTATTCCTTTGTTTATCCTCTGCTTCTTGTTAATCCTTTTTTTTCTCTTCTTCGTTTTCTTCAACACAGTTTTCTCTGTCCTCTTGGTCTTTGATGCTCATTGCAATTGCAGCCAGCGTGGGTGGTTGCATTGCATTCGCCTATCCATTCTGCTTTCTCACCCCAACAGGTGATCCGCCCCTTCATAGACCCAGCAACATTAAACGAGATCCTCTCTGTCAACTACTATTCAGGCGCCTTAACAACCTCTCGCTTGACCCGTTCTGCCCCAACAGGTGATTTGCCTCTTCATAGGACCGGTGACACTCAACATACGGCGAGGTGATGGGACGGGATGACGAGAAGTCGGCAAAATACTGGGAGACTGGTGGGGAGCGGTTGCAGGAGATTGTGGGGGATGAGAGCGGTGACGGTGCTGACAGCACAGCACCCAGGGCAGTGAGGGAAGTTCCCTCAGCAGCAGCAGCAGTTCCAGCAGCATCAGCAGCACCAGCAGCAATGGCGATGGTGACGGCTGTGCGAACCTTTGGTTACCCGTTGAGGTGCTTACCCACTGATCCGAACCGAACACACCTCCCACTGTGCAAATTAATGGAGTGCTCACAAATTTCCATAAGATGAGCCTGAACAGGTTCATGAAGAGGCCAACGTTCCATCAGCAACACAAATAAAAGGATTGGTAAGGGTCTAGTTATGGGGCAGCGAAGACATATTTAAAGCTTGGTGTTACGAATAGTGGTTAGTGAAGAGCACTATTGTTCACTCCTCACCGTAGCAAAGCCGAAGCACGCAGTATCAAGAGTGAAGACGAAAAGGCAGAAGTAATGCGAAGGGACAGACGGTTACGAGGAGCATCTGGACCGTCGGGCAGACAGCATCAGGCAGCAGCAGTGGCGAGGATTCTGCCCGAACAGTTCCGTAACCACCCGGAGTCGCACGGTTGGATTTCGATGTAATAAGGGAATGTACCCCTTAGAGTACATGGCTAGCTAGGTCGTTTCGTATTCCCCTGTACTCTTATTTATATTCCTTGTACCGCATGTTTTTATTATCACAAGCATTTACATTCACTCTGCTATTGAGGTCAAGGGCCCACCACCACTAGACTAGGACTGTGCGAACCTTCCTGAGGTGATCCTGGTTACGATCAACTTCTGATCGCAGCATGGTATGAGAGCGACTCAGGAATCCTTCGCACCGCCACCTCCGAAATCTGCGACATTCGGAAAGTGGCGTCCGGCACACGATCACGTGTAAGAATGGCCGGAGGATCTGGAGGTCAGACGAATCTGACGGCTGAAGCGCAGCCCAACCCGGCTGCGACAAGCGAGGAAACGACGACGATCCCTTCCGCCGTCCTCGCACAA